ATATATATATATATATACATAAAAAGTATATTCTTACGTAACATAATATCGTGATCTCTTACACCATCGATCGATATCCCGAATGTACTTTTGCAAAACAGATATTCGAGAGAAAAAAGAACGTGAAAAACTTTGTTTCCTTTTTTCCCTCTTCTTTTTCTTCTTCTTTCCGCAGGACTGGAATTACCGACCAAATAACGCGTTCTAATAAATGTACAATGTAAAAATATTGACGCGACTTCAAAAATACTAGAAAAATACTCGTCCCCTTTGTCTCAAAATTTTTCGAAAGATCGAAAAAAACACTTTCTTCGATTGCGGACAAAATTCTTTTTTTTTTTTTTTGATCATTGCGCTCGTGGAATCGAATCCGAAGTTCGAAAAGTAAAAACGATCGTCGCGTAAAGTGAGATTTCCTTTAGAGATGGAACGATATATGCATATTTAGAAGAGAGAGAGAGAGAAAGAAGCGAAGAAGTTTCGAGAATAAAGTTCGCGTGCGCGCATGCCATGCAACAAGCATGGTTTATTCAACGTCGCTGTGAAAGACTGTGCGCACCGTGCGGCACCGGTTGCAGCTTCACAGGTGCCCTCGTACGCGGTTCTACCGCGTTTTCTATCCGCTTCGGCGGATGTTCCGTCGCGTGTTTCGCGGGAAAGAAAACAAAAACAAATAAACAAACAAACAAAAAAAAAAAGGAATATCGTGCGCTTCAAGTTTCTTTTTTTTTTTTTTTTCTTTTTTTTTTTTAACTGCTATGGACGGATATATTACACGCTCGTCGATGTTTTTTCATCAGGGGAAGGGAGGGGAGGGGAGGGTCGCGATTCTATCTATCTATCTATCTATATCTACACACGTTGTCCACCAGCGAATCATTTTTAAATCCGCGTGGAATTGCGCGCGTGTTTTTCGAAAAGGAAAAAGAAAGAAAAAAAAAAAAAAAAAAAAAAAAAAAAAGAAAGGAAATTTCGAAAACGAAATGCGCGCAACAAGGAAATAGCAATCGAGTGCTTAATAATAATAATAATAACCGTCGCTTGACAATCGATAATCGCAAATGGGCAGTGATTTTCAATTCCATCTCTTTTCCACTTCTCTTTTTTCTTTTTTAAAACCCGTACCACCACCATTTGGACGTACGTGTTTTCATCATGTACTTTCAAAGATTTGTCGCGTTTCATCGAGTCTCTTTTTTCTTCTCTTTCTCCTTTTGAGAAAGACTCGAGATTTAACGCGACTCTGTGTGTGTGTGTGTGTATGTGTGTGTGTGTGTAGCGCAGTTTCGAAGGAACTGTGGTCGGTTGGGAGCAACACGAGTCTCGAATTATATTCTTTAAACGAAACCGCCGAGGGCGTCGTGAAAGTCTTGAAGATAGGCGAGGAGTTGAGGCATGGTCGGCCGATCCCTGGACAGGCCTAACCAACAGACGGCCATCACGGCGAAGAATTCGTCGGGGCAGGGCCTCGGTTGGGCCAGTCGGTAACCGTCCCGGAGACACGCCATCATTTCGAACGGGTCAACCTCGACGTACGGTTGCTGGCCCATCGTCGCCAATTCCCACAGGAACACACCGAACGACCACTGGAACGGAAAAGAAGAAGATGAAGGGAGAGGGAGAACGTGGAAGAATTTGTCGTTGGTCGGTAAAAGTGAATCATCATTTGTGTCATTTACATCGGTATCGTACGGTTTAAACCGTTCGTTATCGGATACAAAGTTAAAAATGTTATTGCGAGTGGTTTTTTTAAATGTGTGAACAATTTTCGAAATTCTCCAAGTGTATATATAACAAGCAATAATTGTTGATACAACGATGTGTTCTTTTCTTTTTTTTTTTTTTTTTTTTTTTTTTTATCTTCGACGACTAATTTCGAATTGGTTGGATTATTCGATTCGAGCGAAATATTAATTAAACAAGATGAATGAATTTCAGCCAAATATTTAATTTGAAACAATGCTGGAAACAATTCCTTTCCAAGTTCTTTTGTAATTAATATTCATTAACTCTATTCATATTTATGACATGTGGCTTTTTTCAATTTTAAGTTTCCTCGATAACGTCTACCATATCTTCGACAATGTCACTTGAAAATGATAATTTGTTGCAAGTAACTATACACTTTGTATTCTATGTATCAGTTCGATAATATTGCAACAGAAATTGCATTATGCATGCATTTTTAATGAGGCGTATGTATTATTAATAAGTAAATTAACTAACTGTTCGGTACATCTTTTGATTTAAATAATTTTTTTTTTTGTACTTTGGAATAATTTTTTTTCCGCTATATATAAATATTGCAAACATTATTGCACGTATACGTATAAATCTTGTATATTTAAATCCAAAGTAAAAAAGAGAAGAAAAAGAGTAATTATATCTCGTACTATAATTACATTTAATGCTAATAATATACGATTATTTTTAGGAATAATTTAAATATCTTGAGATTGTGGCAATGCTTCATGATACGCACCACGTCTGTCGCAGTGCTGTACTGATTGTGCTGGAGGGTCTCCAAGGCCATCCAACGAATGGGTCTGTTCTCGTTATCACCGAGACAATGGTAGTCCTGAGGGAAGAGATCTCGCGCCAAAGCTGTGTCGGCTAATCGGACACGAAGACTGCTTGGCTCGATCAGACAATTTCTGGCAGCGATATCCCTGAAAAGTATATACGCTCGATTACATACAGAGCGTTCCAATTTCCTTCTCGTATCTCGTATAAACGCGATCTATTTGAAGATTCTATTTTTTTTTCTTTTTTTTTTATTTTTAAGTGGCTTTTCTTTGCATAACGTTTCACTCGTGTGTCACGAATAATGGTATTTGAATATTTACTTAGTCATTTCTGCGTGAAAACAAATCGGTTAAAAACACGCTAATCGACTCTCGACGAGTGGTCGAATGCAAAAAGTAGTAGAGATGCGATCACACCTGTGTAAGAGGCCACGACCGTGCAAGAATGCCCCTGCTCTGGCAACCTGTGCACCAACGTGCACCAAATCCCTTGTGCCGGGATGGTGGTTTCCGTCGGTAAGGTAGAGCTTCAGATTCAACTCGCCTGGCGTGCTCGTGTACGCCAATAAAGGGCAGGAACTGTCCAGGCATGCGGCAGCGAGCGAAGCTATGTTCGAGTGCACCAGTCCTGCCAATTGCGATCCCTCGACCACCAGCAAAGAGGCTTGATAAGCCGATGCCACTTCTAAAATTGTTAATTTCTCCATTACTCATTTCGATTCGATTTTGAATTTCGAAAATGGGAGCGAATAAGAAAGTTTTCACGAATGTGTAACCGGCTGTAGGTACGCACGATTCTCTACCTTATCGCGCGTTGCTAACGCAGACTATCGCCGCGAAAATTCGAACAAGAATAGTATATAACGAGGAATTTATTTTTTCACCACGCGAATCGGAAATAAAAATCTGGATATAAATTTTTGTAACGCATCAATACCTGTGACGGTCTTTATGATGACTTCTTGCTCCCTTCCGGCCAGTTCCAACGTGCCTTTGTAGACCCGACCGAAGGTGCCCTCCTGCACGAGATTGCGACAGTAGAGGGCAGACCTCGACACGGCGAGTGCCCTCGCCTTCTCGCAAGGATCGGTCGACTGCAAATTAACAGGCATCCGAGAGTATTAAATCTGATACCGACGACGAGCAGACAGCAAAGAGATTCTTAAACAATTTCCACCCTTTCCCCTCTCTCTGACACTCTCGGCCTGTATAATTCATCACGAAAGAAAATCCCATCCGCGGAGAACTCGTTAAAAAAGCATTTGTCGCCTGTAACAAGACACGAAAAAGGTGTCTTCGAAGGACGATGTGAAGAAGAGGGGAGGGAAGAGAGAGGAAGAAGACAACCCTTGCTACCACACCGTGCTTTTATACCCTCGTGTTGCGTGTCATCGTTATATCGTCGTTTCCATCGTATTCCAGCCGCACTCCCCTTTGTTCCACGACGATTTTCCACCGGGTCCCCGCGTTGCGTAGGAGGAGCAGGGGGCGGGGAGCAAACAGGAGGAGGGGAGGCCGGTTATTCATTAATTTCAATTTTCCGCAGTTTTGCCTCCGGCCCCTCCCATCCCATTTGCACGCGTCTACGCGTGCAACGGCCTCTTTGTGTGTACGTGTTTCAGCGTGGTAGTGGTGGGAGAAGGAGAAAGGAAGAGGCTCGATGCTTCGAGAAGCATTAGCGCGACGCGTGCAAATTATTACCGGACACGACCACGTGTGTACGAATCTGTAAATGGGAGGGGGGAGAGTAAATAACTAAATAAGTAAGAACCTCTCTATCCTGATGGGATAGAGGAAGAAGCCTCTTGTTTTACGAAATAATTCGAAAGAAAAAGAGGCGATTCCTCTTTACTAAATAATCTTTTCGTTATTTCAGTTTCCATTACCAATTTCCAATTGTTCCTCTCCACGTCTCTCTTCCATTTTTTTCCCCGTTAATGAAAATGCGACGAGACGATGAGACGACGATGAGAGATCTAAATAATAATCGTATGAAAAGAAACGGCGGCGGAATTTCGAGGCGGTGGAATTTCGACGGGCGGAGAATAAGCTTATAAATATAAATAGTGGAACGTGCTTTGTTCAACTGCGATAATCGCGGCGGCACGAGAGCGGCCATTAGAGAGAGAGAGAGAAAGACAGAGAGAGAGAGAGAGAGGGAAGTGCAATAATTTCGTTATTATGGAGAGCAAAAGCGGATGCTTCCATCGTTGCTTTACGCCGTTGGTTTAAACCGGCGATAACCGGACCACGCTTCTACCACTTTTAATTATAATGTTTGCAACCAGTAACAGGGTTTCCTCTCTCCGCCGAAGTGAATTACGAGCAAGCGCCGTGGCACTATAAAAATAAAAATAAGGAGGACGGGGGAGGGAGGTAATCGCGTTATCAAACGCTTTGCTTTATTCGCCTGCGTTACAACGATGATCGCATTTTGATGGTAAATTTTTTTTTTTTTCTAATATGGTATTTTAACGAACAGATTATTATTATTATTATTATTATTCGTACTGTACAATCGCAAACGTTCAATCGCAGAGTTTGGTAGGAAAAATAACCGCGAATACGAACCGCTACAAATATTATTCCTCCCCCCTCGATCGTTTGCGATTTATTATCATTTGTTTCGCGCTTGGCCGCGTTCCGATTGATTTCGATGATATTGCTTATGCATCATGCGAATTAATTGCATCACCGAATCGAAGATACAAAGCTTTGCTTTTCGTTAAAATTGGAAGGGGAAAAT